GTTGAAATGTCCCTTGTGTGGCTGGGTGGTCCCTGGGGACCAGGTCTCGTCGGACCCCCCTGGGCTTTGGTGTGAGCTGAAGCTTTGGGTGCGCTGCCTCCAGAGCCCCATGGCCAGCCCATCACCCTCCCGGTGCTCTGTGTGTGCTGGTGCCAGGGTGTCTGCTGTTACACAGCGTGGCAGCCTTGAGGCGTTTCCCAAAAGCCCACGCTTCCTAACTGGAACTTCCTCCAGACAGTACTAGATCCCAGATTCCCTTTTCAGGGGGCAGGAGCCAGGCACACTACACCCAGCACGTGTCTGATATGTGCTTCCTCTGCCAAGGTGTGCTCAGGATGGGGGTCACTTCTGCACGTGAGTCTCAGGGTTTCTTTTGCAAAACTGACACCCTTTTCTCTGTAAATGTGTAGGTACACTCTGCTGGTTGGGAAACCCCCTTTTGAAACTTCTTGTTTAAAAGAAACATACATCCGAATCAAGAAGAACGAGTATACTATTCCCAAGGTATGGTGCTTCCCACGGGTGGACCCGTCCACCTCGCAGCAGTTCTTGGCCTGTCTTCTGCTGCACCATCCTGTTCCCAGCACTTAGTGGGTTCTCGCGTAAAGATGAAATGGCTCTTATTGCAGAGTGCTAGGAAGGGGATGTCTCTGTCAGTGGTGGAGTGAACCTGTAGGGCCAACTTCCTCCTGAGGAGCCCACAGCTCCCCTGTAATCCAGCAAAAATCCGAGCTGGGCTGTTGGCACGTGGAGTTAAATGGGGACATGTGAGCCCACGAGGTCTGGGCCAGGTCCCCAGCTCATCCTGCTGCTGCTGATTCGGTCTTGCTGAAGTCGGTCGACTTTAGGCTCTGTGTGCTGTCAGGAGGCAGCTCTCTGTACCTGCCCAACTCTGTTTCCCCAGGCGTGCGTCCTGCTTGCCTGACGCAGCACAGGAGCTCTGCTCCAAGCAGAACTTCCCCCAGGTTGTATATCCAGTGCCTTCGCTGATAGTGTGCATTGTCCCCTGACCCTTGTCTGCACTCTCGGCCTGTCTCCTCTTAGCACATCAACCCTGTAGCTGCTAACCTCATCCAGAAGATGCTGAGGTCCGACCCTGCCACGCGCCCAACTATCGACGAGTTGCTGAGTGACGAGTTCTTCACCTCGGGATACATCCCCAGCCGCTTGCCCACCAGCTGCCTCACCATCGCTCCCAGATTTTCAATTGCTCCCAGTGGACTTGAAGTGAATGGGCGGAAGCCGCTGACTGCGCTCAACAAAGGTGAGAGCAAGTGTCCGGAGGGGAGACGGGACTGTGGCGCTGGGTGAGAGCCTGCCTGCCCTCCAGCAACGTCCAGAACCGTCAGTGGGGAACGTGGTGCTCCCTCACCCCTTCTCCCAGTTCTTAGGAAAACCTGGAGCAGTTTGAGTGAGGGAGAGAGGTCTCCTCGCTCTTTGCCCAGAACCAAAGCAGGGAGGAAGTGCCAGCACGAGCTTTGTAGCTATATGGTGTATAATGTGTTTCCTACAGCTAGCATAGAAGGTAAATCTGGAGCCTTTAGAAACTTACACCCCAGTCACACCTCCACACGCTTCTCTTTCCTGGCCCAGGACCGGACAGTCCTGCACTAGAGAACTTGCCTGAAAAGGAAGACCTTGCTGGGCTGCGGGAGCTGGGAGATGCAGTTGAGAGTCACTTAGCTGACATGTTACAGCAGCTGATTGCAGTCAACTTGGCCAAGCCTTCCGAGAAGGTGGCAGTGAGGCAAGGTGAGTCTGGGGACAATCCCACCGGCACTGCCCTTCCTGGGTAACTTGCTTCTCTGTCACTTTGCTGTTGTCTGAAGTGAGACACCAGCTGAGCTCAACTTCAAACTGGAAGACTGAGCAGGCTTTTGGCCTTGCTTGCTTGCTGGGGTGCACAGGATGCTGTGAAATGTCTTCTAACAAGCTCTTTTCCTCTTTGCAGAAGAAGCTGAAGACCCAGCCTGCATTCCCATCTTCTGGGTTAGCAAATGGGTGGACTACTCGGATAAATATGGTCTAGGTAAATAACATGGGGGCAATACTTCAGCCTTGTCTAGTTTCTGAAGAGGCTAGGGGGAGCTTGGGTTTGAGCATTGAACAGGTCTGGTTCTTTAATTGCAGTATTCCAGTGTGCGTGTCCCAGACCACCACCAGGAACATTACCAAACACTCAGTGAATCCAGAGCAGTGGTCACCAGCCATCAGCTCTGGCCACTTTAAGGTGGAAAAAGGTTACCTGCTGCATGAGATGGCTGGCCTCGCTCCGCCTGGAGCATGTGCACCCACTGTGGCAACTAAAGCTGCTTCTGCAGCAGGTCATGCAAGGAGGGAGGAGGAAAAGTGACCCCCAGACCTCCACAAAGAGGGGACACTCTTTAGCCCTGGCAGGGACTTGGTGGGGTGGCTGTCAGGGAGCCCCTAGATCAGACAACCTTCTGCCTCTGTGTTGCACACAACTGGTGGTCCCTTATATTTGAAGGTCAAACGAGAGCTGCCTTTTGAACTAGGTTACCAGCTGTGTGACAACAGCGTTGGCGTTCTCTTCAATGACTCCACTCGCCTTATCATGTACAACGATGGGGACAGCTTGCAGTACATCGAGCAAAACAGCACCGAGTCCTTCTTCACTGTGAGATCCTACCCCTCTGCCTTGAACAAGAAGGTCAGTCCTGGGGACAGGAGCCCTTGCTGGGAGGTGGCTGCTCCTGGTGAGGCTTCTGCCAGCCTTGTTGGGCTTTGGCAGGGTGGGTTCCAGGGAGAAACACCTGAAACTTGGGGTCACTGGCATTCTGCAGGCTCCCTCTTGGCTGGCAAAACATGGCCCTGAGGATAGACACTAGCAGCTCTGTTTCTGGTTGCTCTCTGAGGCTCATTTATGAGCAGCTTCACAGAAATAAGTGCTCACAAGACTTGCCTATGCCCAAGTGTTCGGCAAAGTGAGTCCTGAGTATCACAGACCGAGTTAACTTTGAGAATTTGCCCAAGTTTGTGCAGTGACACCTCAAGGTCTGAAAGGTGGAGGGAGGCTCTGGGACTGTGGAAGCAGCCCCTGTGCTCCCCACGTAGCAGGGGACACCCTCGGCCTGGCTGCTCACCGCCTTTCCCGCCTGCAGATAACACTATTGAAATATTTCCGGAACTACATGAGCGAGCACCTGCTGAAGGCGGGTGCTAACATCACGCCGCGGGAAGGAGACGAGCTGGCCCGGTTACCCTACCTCTGCACGTGGTTCCGGACCCGCAGCGCCATCATCCTGCACCTCAGCAACGGCACCGTGCAGATCAACTTCTTCCAGGTGAGGCGGCTGCTCCGCGTTTGCCAGGGCTGTAGCTCCAGTTGTGGAAAGAGCCCCGCGATGCGGAGCCTTCCTGGCAGGGAGCAACCTGAGCCAAAACTCAGCCCAGCGATGCGAAGTGCTGGGAGGCTCCGTCCCCCCTTGCTGGCGTGTTAAGCCACGCGGGCCCCCCCTTGCTTGCCAAGGGGCTCTGTCCTTTAGCAGGAGGTCACCTGCTGCGCAGGCTTCGGGGGCTTGAGCTGGCTGGCCTGATGGATTCGTTCCCCTTTGCGAGCTGTGACTGAATGCTGCAGCGTGGTGTGCTGTCGCCATGCCTCTGGGTGCAGCTGGGATGCCCCGGCTGCCGCCGAGACGGTTCATCCTGCGGAAATGCGGTCCCCACGGGGCGGAGTGCTGGGGGTGACGGGCTGCTCTCTTCCCACAGGACCACACCAAAGTCATCTTGTGCCCTCTCATGGCTGCCGTCACATACATAGATGAGAAACGGGACTTCCGCACGTACAAGCTGAGCCTCATCGAGGAGCACGGGTGCTGCAAGGAGCTGGCCAGCCGGCTCCGCTATGCTCGCACCATGGTGGAGAAGCTCCTCAGTTCAAAGTCTGGCTCAGGCCGGGTGAAATCCTCGGCTTAGACCTTGTTCTTGATGGACTTCACACGTGTGCCAAACTCTCCCAGCTGTGCAGGGGGAGGTCTAGTAGCGTCCCTGCCTGCCCTGTTACCTCCCATCACATAACTGGGCTCCCGCCCCTGGGTATGGTCTAGTTGCCAGAAGGAAGCCCCTGATGCTGTGGGAAGGGTGGTATTCACTGACTGGTACCCAAAGGTTTCTTGCTCCCCATTCCTAATAGAAAGTCTATTTTTTAATTGCATACCCAGGTTGTTTTTTGTGTTTTTTTTTCCCTAATTTCCCAAAGCCAAAAGCCTGACTCAGAAAAACAACCTTCTTATTTGAGGCTTCTGGGCCTTCTCTTGAGGGAACAAAGTATGGGGAGAGCAGAACTATCATGTAAATTATTTGTACGTGTCTGTGCTGATGCTCTAAGCGTTTGTTTCCTCTTGTAGAAATTCAGATAAGACATTTAATGTGCCCACGGTGAGACTGAGCAATCAGCCTTTTAATACTGAAACTAATCTCCATGAAACAGACTTTTGTATATTGCATAACTCGATTAAAGTTTGTTTGCTACAGCATCCAGTCCAGTGTGGTTCCCTGGGGCTTGCTGGGAGGAAGCAGCACCTCGCCTCTGCCTTCCCCTCCAAGCAAGAGCTTGGAGTTCCTGCTGCCTCCTTGCTTGCCCCTGCTAACAGCCCCCAGCCGAGCTGAGCCCTGGCCTCGCTCAGCTCCCCTGGACACGGAGCCACAGGGAAATGGGAGCAGCGGCGCATGATAGCAAATGGGGAGGGGGTTGAGGTGGTTTGGGAGGTGCTTGGTGTAAGCAAAGATGGGCCTGGGAGGTGTTAATGCTGTTTATGTTGCAGGTGAGGAGGCCTTGGGGGGGGTACTCACAGCCTTGACTTGCCTTTTCCCCAGCTCGCTTTACTGTGTGACTAGACTTGGGAAAAGTCACCTACGTTAGCAGGCTTTAGCGGGAGCCCAGTAAGCTCCCTTGGATTTTCTTCCGCCCCGCTTTGATGCCAGTGCACAGCTGCTTGCTTGCACTGGTGTGCTCAGACCACTTTATTTTTAAGCAGGGCGAGCTTTTTAGTTTTTATTTTTTTTACAACTTTTTATAGAAAATGCTCTAGACACTACAGTGTTCTGAAACCAAAGCAGGTACAAACCCCTTGTTACCTGTGTAACACAATCCCACACCCCAGCACACAGAGGAATCAGACTGTACAAAATTATTGCTGTTCTGGAGTGGGAACCTTGCTGAGGAGCACCGGCTGCTCCCAGACCCAGCGGGTGCTGCCCTTGGAGGCTGGTGCCTGTGAAACCCGTGCCCACGGGCATGCCATAAACCAGAACAGCCCTGGGGCAGCGGGAGAGGCTGTGGAGGGAAGGGATCCCTGGGGAGAAGGGATTTCCCTGGCATAACTACAGGCTGCTGGTAAACAAAAGGGAAAAAACCTTTTTCTCAGCCCAGCTGAGATTAAAACCTTCATTATCGGAATTGTGCTGCCCTCCAGGGCTGGGGGCAGCCCTGATGGAATCAGTGGGTCCAAGCCCCACGGTGGTTGCTAAAAGCTGACCCACTGTGCCTCTCCAGGAGCTCCTCTGCAGGAGCCTCTCCAGTGTCAAGACTGGTGTACTGGTCCTGGTCCCAGCTGTGCTGAACACACTCAAAGAGCCGCTTTCCCAGGCATGGGGCAGGGGAGGACGCGGGGGCTGAAGCTTGCTGCTCCCTGGTCACCACCCCCCGGGGCTCCAGCCTGGCTGCAGCACCCTGCCAGCTCCCCTCAGGAAAATGCAACATGCATTTTCTCCTTTCTTCTTTTGCCATCACCGCAGAGGTTTTGGGGTTTGTTCTCCAACACAAATGCCTTCAGGCGGCTGAGTCTGACCTCGAGCGTTTGCAAAGGTGGGTGCCCAGAGGGTCCCTCTTGGGCTCCTCAGGAGCCCAGTGCCACCCTACGCCCGCCCCACCGTAACCCACCAGCACGTTGGGTGACCAGGGGGTCCGGGGGTCCCACCTCACCCTGGCGAGGGGGTGAAGGACGCTGGAGACGGGGCTGTGGGTAGGAGCGGGGCAGGGAGGAGCGGCCGCAGCAGCCTCGTGGCGTGTGTCCCCCCCTCACTCGCCCTCGCCCCCCGGGCCGTGGCAGTAGTAGGAGCGGAAGAGCCGCTCGCGGGCGCAGACCCTCATGGCCCCGTGTGTGTGCAGGAGCAGCCGGGGGAAGCGGGAGGTGAAGTACTGGACAAAGTCATCGGGGACGGAGCCCAGGGCTGCCCGGACGTCAGCTGGCAGCTCGTGGTAGTGATGCTTCTGCAGGAGAGAGGGTGAGGTGAGCGGGGGGGGCGGTGGGGTGCAGGGGAGCTGGGGGGGGGGGGGGCCGTACCTTGTTCCTCATGGCCCGCAGGAGGTCACGCACCGAGCCCCCCTTGTAGGTGCGGAACTTCCTCAGGTCTGGGGAAGAGCAGGAGAGATGCTGAGCGAGGCGGGGCGCGGCCGGGGCGAGGGGCCCCCCCACTCGCCGCCCGGTGCTGCGCGGAGGGGGGCAGCAGGCTCGGGGTGCAGCGGGGAGCCCGGCCCCTGCGCGCTCACCGGTCTGCAGCGGCAGCGAGATGTGCATCCTCCAGTTGGTCCTCACCACCGCCCGCCCCCCCGCCTCCAGCGCCAAGACGAGGGGCCCCTCGGCCGGCTCCTTCTCGATGCGGTCGCTGACGTCCTGCGTGCCCAGGAGCAGGGACCGGGGCCGTTACGGTGCTGGCCCTCGCTCCGTGCCACCCCCTCCAGCAGTAGGGAACAGAGCCGGCGCCGAGGAGGGGACGACGAGGGTTTGACCCCGACCGCAACCCCCCCCCCCCGTCCTTCCAGAAGTAGCTCAAAACGAGCACACTGACCTCAACACAGCCATTTCCAGCACGCGTTTTTCAAAGCACACCTACGTTCACCACGCACGCGCTCACCTGGAAGAACTGTAGCTGCTTCTCCTGGCTCCAGAAAAAGGGGTGCGCAAGGACCCCCGGGGCCGAGGGTCGGTGCTGGGGCTCGGGGCTGAGCATTGCTGCAATCAGCTCTCGCGCAACAAGCTTGTCTGGCAGGCGAAACAACACAACGGAGAACCGACCCCCCCGAGAAGGGCCGGGAGCTGCGCCCCCTCAGCTCAGGGCTTCCCCGGGGGGACGGGGCGGTGGGGAAGGGTCTCACCGTGAGCTTCTTCTTGCAGGCAGCTCAGCTGGTAAGAGCCCGACAAGATGTTGGCCTGTCGCCGCAAGCTGTCCCCGAAGGGATGCTGCCCTCCTGACACCACGTAGTAGAAGATGCAGCCGGCTGAGAAGATATCCACGGCGCACGTCTGCAAAACACAAAGCGGGGGGAGATGGGACCCTCGCAGCAAAGGGCGAGGAAAGCTTTCGCCTCCCCACTTTTCCACTCTTTTATGTGAACGCTTGGTCATTTGCTGCAGAGCTGCTGGAGAATGCATCGCAGCAGGGCTCCTGCCTGCCCCGCTCTCCGGGGTCGGAGAAGCCCCCATCGCATCGGGTCCGTAGCGGGGAGGGGGGCTTCCGAGGCACAGGCAGAAGTCAGGACGTCACAGCCAGACGGACGTGCTGGGGCTGCTGGTGCCTCACCCAGCTCTGCAAACGGACCCCGGCACAGGGTTACGCGGAGCGCGCTGCCAGCACCAGCACGGGGCCGCCAGGGACCAGTACAGCAACTGGCTTCCAGCAGGAACAGGATTCCCTGGGCTAAACAGACGGGCAGAAGCGTAAGGTTCGCGGTGAACCACGGCCCCCTCTGACCTCCCCACCCCGAATTTCCACGGACTGGAGCCAGATGAGAGGCCCTGTGCTGAGCACAGCCGGGCACTGTCCCCGCGAGGGCCGGAGAGCAGGGGGAGTCCTGGCGAGGAGCCCCGGTGCTCTGCAGCTGGGCTGGCCTGGGCTCTCGGAGCTTTTGTCTTAATTGTGCGTTTCGGTCGCACGCCCCGAGGCCGCTGCCAGCGCGGGGGGACTCTGCCGGGGCGGGCTGGAGGAGGACCCTAAGCGGGGGGAGGCATCCGCAGCTCACTGACAGGGTTCTCCTTCGGGGCCTCCTGCAGCACCTCGGGCGCGATCCAGCCCTCGGTGCCAGGGATGCCGGAGCGGAGGCTGAAGCTCTGCCGTCCCCCCTGGAGCTTCTTGCAGAGGCCGAAGTCGGAGATGACGGCTCGGATCTGCCCGTGGCGATTCGGGACAGAGATGAGGATGTTACAGGGCTTCAGGTCACGATGGACTGGAAGAGAGAGCGCGCAGCGTCACCGGCCACCGCGGTGGCAGGGCTGGAGCAGGACAGGGCTCTGCCCCGCTCGCTGCTGACCCCAGAGCTGCTGCCGGGAGCCCGGCGGGACACGCTGCCCTCCCGCCCGCGCCCTGCCCGCTTACCGATGCTGAGGGAGTGGAGGTGGGCCAGCCCGGACATGGTCTGACGCAGCAGAGATACTGGGTCCAGGCTGCGGCGATCGAAACTGGGCTTTTCCACGTACTGGAACCACACAGGGGTAGAGAGATGAACTGAGGCCTGATTTACTGGGGCAAAGAAGGCAAGGCTTGCCAGGAAAGGCTTAGAATCATGGAATACCAGGTTGGAAGGGACCTCAAGGATCATCTGGTCCAACCTTTCTTGGCAAAATTCTCACTTCTCACTAGGCTGACAGGGGTGGAAGGAGACAAGCCCATGCGGAGGCCGTTTGTGCCCAAGGCTTGCCGTTTCCAGGACCACCAGTCGGCATCTATTCCCTCTGCAGCAGACTGCCCTCACTTGTGTGCTCGGACCTCCACAGCTTCAGCAACACTCCTGCTTCAGGAGCGGTAAAAGGATGCTTCTCCTCCCCCACGCCGAGTCTCTCCCCAGCACGGGAACAACCGCCCCGACCGACGCCAAGGGTGGGAGCTGCCCCGTCCCTCCCGAGGGGACAAACGGGCAGGGAACAAGGGCAGGGGCTGGCCTGGCGCAGGGTCAGTGCTGCTGCTGGCTGCTCTGCCTCTCCGAAGCACCTCGCAGCCTGGCCATGCCCGATCCCACCCCGTCCCCTCGGACTGCTGGGAGGCAGGTTCGGAGCAGGGCTGTACACCCGTGGCCGGGCAGGAACCCCAGAGAGGGCTCCGAACTGGGGAGCCGCCGGCTGCCAACCCTGCCCTCGGGCATGCACAGCCCCCTGCTCCCGCGGGAGCACTGCGCGGCCTCGCTCACGGCACTGGCGAAACCAGATGCGTGTCCCGGGGGACCAACCCGCAAACACGGGGCGGGGGGGACAGCCAGGATTGATCGGCAGCCCCCCAGCAGCACCCCCGCGCCCCCAGGACCGGGCGGGGGGGGGGGGGGGGGGCTGCGGGCTCACCTCCTGCAGCGTGGCGGAGCAGAGCTCGATGGCGATGTAGTGGAACTGCTTGTCCTTCTCGGTGCAGAAGTAGCGGACGACGTGGGGGTGCTCGTCCGACTCCCGGAGCAGCTGGACCTCGCGGTCCACGAGACGGAAGCACTCGGGCAGGAGGCGCTTCACGGCCACGTCCCGGCCCTCAAACTGGCCCCTGCGTGGAGAGTCGGCGGCCGCGTCCATGCACGGCCCCCCCCAGCCAGAGCAGAGCCCAGCCAGGCTCCGGCTGATGCTGGAAACTCGCCCCTCGGGGTCCTGAGCACGGGTCACCTTGGAGTGATGCCCAAAGACTTGTCACAGCCGTGGACAGGCAGAAATCTCTGCAGCGAGCTGGGAACTGGGGGGGGGGGGGGGGGGGGGGGATCAGGTTCCCCTTTTTGTAGGAAAATAACATCCCTCGCTTTTTGCCGTGTTTAGCGCTGGGGAAAGGTGCTGAGCCAGAGGCAGGGGGGACCTTAGCGGGGGTTAGACCCACCGCTGCTGTGGGCTGCCTGGAGCAGGCAGGAGGGGATGGGGAGCACGGGGCAGTGCTGCGAGGGGGGGACCTGCCCGGCACACCGGTACCCGCTTACCGAAGGCCACAAGCCCAGCTCCCCACGGGGGTTCGGTGAGGACCACGAGAAGGGGAAGGTGGCCACCCGTTCTCAAAAGCCCCTGAAACCAGCGGCCACCTCCCAGGAAGGAGCTGCCTTGGTGCTGTCCCTGAGGCTCCCAGAGAGAATGAGAGTGGAATGAGGGCGAGCACCCCGGGGTGCCACCCACCTGAAGACAAAGGTTCCTCCAGCTCCGTGGCCCAGCACATCTTTGGGGTTAAAAGAAACTTTCCCAACTACAATCACGTCTGGTTCTGGATCTGCAGAGGAAGAGGAAGACAGCCATCCTTCAGCCTGTAAGCGTTACTCCTATACGAAGGACACCCAGTTCTTTAACCATTGCCTGGGCCCTACTGCTCTTGCAGTTGCTTTTGTAGCCCACGATCATCCAGCAGCAGGTCCTGCATCTCCCCCCGTATCTCAGCTGGGCTGCAGCCCCTCTCATCTCCGGGGCGACTCTGCTCCTGCTTTGGGCTGCACCTCCAGACAGAGCCCCTCGCACCTCGCCTGTCCCCCCCCGCACACACCTGCAGCAGCCGCCGGGACAGCCGGATCCGGGCTGACCACCCCGTTAGCCGGGTCCTTCAGGGGGGCCGAGGGGCTGGAGCTCTGCGAGACCTGCGACGAGCTTCCCTGGCTCAGCCCCGGCTCCCCGGGCTCTGCAGGGACCCGGCCCGGGAGCAGCATCTCCTGCTGCTGCTGCAGGAGCTGAATCTGCTTCTCCAGCTGCTGCTGCTGTACCTTGTGCTGCTTCTGCAGTTTCTGGAACACAAACCACGGGAGCGCTCAGCTCCTGCGCCCAGAGCAGAGCTGGGGCATCGGCAGGGCTTGGCACAAGCCCTGCCGGCAGCACACCCTGCACCGCCTCGGCTCGTTACCACGAGCGTATACAAGGCAGCGTGGGCACCGTGCAGCTCATCGCAGCCACGGCACCGCTGCTTGCGCCACAGGATGAGAAAAGACCTCGTGAGACCTTGAGAAAAGCCTCTGGGGAGACCCCCCCTGCAGTGCTGGGGCCAGCTCGGGGGCCCCCAACAGCAGAAGGACCCGGAGCTGCTCGAGCAGGGCCAGAGGAGGCCACGGAGATGCTGGGGGGGCTGGAGCAGCTCCCCTGGGGGGCCGGGCTGAGAGAGTTGGGGGGGGTCAGCCTGGAGAAGAGAAGGCTCCGGGGGGACCTTCGAGCGGCCTCCCAGGGCTTAAAGGGGGGGCAGGGAAGGGGGGGGAGGGACTCTGGATCAGGGGGTGGGGATGGGAAGAGGGGGGACGGTTTTACACTGAAAGAGGGTGGATTTAGGTGAGATTCAAGGCAGAAATCCTTCCCTGTGCAGGGGGTGAGGCGCTGGCCCAGGGTGCCCAGAGCAGCTGTGGCTGCCCCCTCCCTGGAAGGGTTCAAGGCCAGGTTGGACGGGGCTGGGAGCCCCCTGGGCTGGGGGAAGGGGGCCCTGCCCAGGGCAGGGGGGGGCACTGGGGGGGCTTTGAGGTCCCTTCCATCCCAAACTATTCCATTCTGTTCTGTTCTGTTCTATTCTATTCTATTCTAAACGAGGGCAGCCCCGGCTCCTCAGGAGCGGTGTTTCTGCGGCAGGCGGTGGGCCCTTCCACCGGCCACCACTCACCGTGAGCAGCAGGAACAGGACTCCGCCGCCCAGCAGAGCCGTGCCGACGCCAGCCACCAGCAGGTCCCAGCTGCTGGCCTCGGGGTACACCTCCGCCTGCTCCCCCGGCGCGGGGTCCGGCTGAAACTGCCCCTCGCTGCGGACAGCCGGCTCCCCGGGGCTGCGCGGGGCCAGAAACTGCAACACACGCCGAGGGCACTCGGGTTTGGGACCCCCTCGCCACTACAGCCCCGCAAACAGCACCCCCCTCCCTGTGCCACCCCACGCCGGGGACCCGCCGTCCCCCCGGCCCCTTCAGCGAGGCGGCACTGCCCGAGGATCCCCCGGTGCTGAGGTGGGACCCAGCAGAGCTCCGCCACTCACATCATCGAACACGGTCCTGGCGGGAGGAGCCCTGGGGATGATGGTTTCCGTTGTCTTCCTCAGGTTCTCCGGGAAGGCTCGCAGCATCGTCGTGTGGACCACGGGAGGCAGCTCGTGGTGCCCTGCGGCGGGAGGAGAGCGGAGACAACCGTCAGCCCATCTCCGGTCACGGCACCCATCCTGCATCCCCGCAGCGGGCTCGCCGGGCAGGGCTGGCTCTCCTGGGGAAGGGGCGTCACTTCTGATGGGACACAACGAGCACCATCCTGCCCCAGGGGGGGGGGGGGGTGCAGCGGCCAGCGGAGAATGGCAGAGGGCAAGGTCCCCCGCTCTCAGCACGCAGCTGGCCCTGACCCTGCTCCCCTGTGCTTCCCCTGCCACGACCCCGAGACACCACCCCGATGTCCAAACATGCCAACGCAGCCACAGCACCTGACCGCAATCACAGAGCGAGCTAATTAACGCAGCGTCTGTGTGCAGGGCTCCAGCACGGGTAATTGAGGGCCCTGCTTCAAAGGGTCCCCCCCACCCCCTGGGTGAGGGCGGCCGGCGGCTCTTCCTGGGGAGGGGACAAGGTTGGGCTGAGACGAGCCCCAAGCCAGAGTCACCGCAGTCCCTGAGGGTGAGTCACAGCATCGCTCCCATTTTCCCCGCCGAGCAAAGCGGGTCGGGCTGCCACCCCAAAACACACCGGGCGCTTGGGCTGCCCTCCCCGGGGCACCCTCCGGGAGCGAGGACGCCGGGGAAGCCCGTGCCCGCTGCGGGTCCGCACCTATTAGGAGCCACTGGTTGTGGAGCGAGGCGATGCTGCCCTGAGGGTACTTGACGTCGGTGCTGGGCGTGATCTCGCACTCCCCCGACTCTCTCATGGTCACGTCGTCCGTGGTGGGGCCGTCGATCCTGGCCAGCGTGATGCCCTGCGGCTGGGGGGGGGCCGGCAGCGCGTGGAGCGGCGCGCGGCTGGGGCCAGCGCCCGCCGCGGCTCACCCCGAACGGGGACAGTGGGGACACTCACCACCAGAGCCACGCTGCCGTGGACCAGGGAGGTCGAGGCGTAGAAGCTGGCTGCATGCTTCCCCACGTAGAGAGCTGGCCTGCAAGGCAGGGGACAGGCATCAGCCTTCCGTCCATCACACGGATCAGGGCGGCCGAGCACCGGCGACGCAAATGCCACCGGCTGCCGCGGCACCAGAGCCACCCACAGCAGCTGGGTCTTGGTGGCGGCGAAGCCCTTCGTGGACTGGTAGCTCCACTTGAGGAGGTGGATGTCCTGCGACTGGAAGGTGAGGTAGCGCAGGGTCTCCATGGCCAGGTTGAGGTGGGGGACGCGGCGGAGGCTGTCCTGGTGCCACACGTAGATGCCGACCACGGGCGAGCCGTAATTCTGCGCCCACAGGACCTCCCCACTCTCCTTGTCCAGCGTCACCACCAGCCCGTCCCCGCTCGAGGCGAAGTGTGCCATCTCTAGGCAGAGCCAGAGGGAGGGGGAGATGCAGCTGTGCCGGCCGTGGGGCTTTGTCCCCCTGTGCTCCCCCCAGTCCCGCCACCGGCCGTGGGCTGTTGCCTGCTGCTCTGCTCCCACGAGAGCTGTGGCCGGTGCAGCAGCCGCTCTCCCCAGCAAGCAGCACAGCTGAGGCAGCGTCACCCCAGGGTCCCGCTGCGAGCAGGGTGTGGGGGGAGCTGGCTCCCGTGGCTCCCGTGGCTCCCGTGGCTCCCGTGGCTCCCGTGGCCACTCACTGTAGTGGCAGGACTCCTCGCAGAGCGGCGCCGAGTAGTCGGAGAAGGTGGCATTCCAGCGCAGCTCCCGTGACTTGGTGTCGTACATGGTGATGACGTACTCTGGGGAGGAGAGCGGGGCACCAGGTCACTGCCCAGCACCCCCTCCCTGGGACCAGACAGACGGACGGGGAGCCGGGCTGCCTTACGGGTACGGCCGATGTAGAGCAGGGGGCTTGACGGGCACACACCGTCCCAGGCCTCTGTTGAGAGAGTGGTCTGCTTCTCTCCTGACTTGGGGTCCACGATGAACCACGTGTCCTGCTTCTTCCCTGAGAACGAAAATACGTTTTCTGTGTCTCCGCAGTCCTGCTGCCTGGCCCCGAGAGCCGCTCGCCAGGCTTCCTCCTGTCCCCCCTCCACGGACACGTTCCCGGGAGGTCCCCGTGGGGGTCCCCCCCTCCTCCGCACACCCCGGGCCCGGCGCTGCGTACCGGTGTAGAGCACGCCGTCCGAACTGCGGCACGGCGAGGACTGGACCAGCTCCGGGATGGTGAACGGGAGCTTCTGCAACACAGACGGCAGCGTGGATGCGGGGCCATGGAAATGCCCCCCCCCAGCAGCAGCCTGCCCGCCCGCGGGAGCAGCCTGCTCCTCCTCGCCTGCCCTCACTGCTCATCCCCACAGCAGGACGGTGGTGGGGAAGGAAAAGGTCCCGGCTGTATTTGCCCCACACCCACCAGGATGACATTTTCCGGGTGCCAAGCACAAGCAGGAGCACCCGAAGGCCCCGGACTCGCCCCGTCCCGCAGGTCAGCCCGGGCCCCCAGGCCAGTGAACCCCCGGGGTGTGGGCAGGATGCTCACAGCCCCCACAGCCCCACTGACCATCAAGCCTTCTTTGTTTTTTCCTCCCAGGATATACAGGCTGCCATCATTGGGGTCTGGAAGGAATGCTGGTCTGGAAAGGAGGAGAGAGGAGGATGAAATGTGAGCTGCCCCCCACCCCAGACACACGCCAAGGGCTCACATTAAGCTGCACTGAAGAAACCTCCTCAGCAGTTTGCTCCGGGGTGATTCACTACGGGGCTTGACCTTTCCTGGCAACTTCCAGCCCTGGGTTTGGTGGGAGATGAACTCCCGCTCTGCCCAGCACCGTAACGCCACCCGGCCGCCTGCCAGCCCCAGGGGAGCTCTCGGCCGCCCTGCCTTCCCCCTGCACTTCCAGGTGTATTTTCCTCAATTTCCCTCCCATGCTTTTGCGCGTGGTGGTGCCGAGAGCTTCTCGTCTGCCAGCAGACAGGCTCCAGTTCAGCAGCAGGGAGCAGCCGTTCCCCACTGCCACGCACGAAGCGCTAGCACAAAGGGAAGGTTTAAGGCAATGCTACGGCGTGGGCCGGGAGGTTCCTTCCCCCGAGGTTCCCCTTCCTTGCTGTGAATCTGCTGGTTCACCAGGGCGGTCGTGCCCCTCGGAAAGGCTCCTGCCCCGCAGAGGGCCCTCTGCCCCGGCGGGGGACACTCACTCTGCCACATAAACCGGCACCTGCAGAATGGGATCTGAAAAAGAGAGCGAAACGCCGACGTCAGCAGCCTCTCCCTGCGAGCGGGGACAACGTGGCAGTGTTTACCAAGCGATGCCGTGCCCAAGCCGCAGCCTATTTGCATTTCAGACCCAGAATAGGCACCGCTGGCAGCGGGGGTCCGGCCCCCCCCCACGCACGGCCGTGCCTGGGGCTGGAGCTGCAGCTGGCAGCGTCCCTCGGGGCTGGGGGAATTGCCAGCCCAGAGCCAGGCTGGGGGGGTGCACCCCCAGAACCCGGCTAGCGACAAGCTCAGGGAGCCAGGCTGCGAGCGAGCCCCCCCCCCCTTCCCCGGGTTGCTACTCACCATCCTTCAGGGTCCACTTGATGTCTCCTGTGCTCTTACTCACTGCGTGAAGGTTTCCATCCAGAGTGGATACGAAGAGCAGCGTTTCTGGGACAGACACAGCACCGCCTTTGAGGCACTACGGACACAAACACCGTCCTTAGAGAGCAGGGACAGACTTGGGGGACAAGCCCCCGCGGGCCGGGGGGGTCTGTCTGCCACAGCCCAGCAGCCCCCCCACACCCAGCACCCCGCAGCAGCAGACCCCAAGGTCCCTTCTCGTCCCCTCTGAGGCAAGACCAGGAGGGAAAATCATTTATTTCCTCAAGCCGGTGTATTAAATCTGCTCATTCCTCCAGCTCCACCCGCACAGGACACCTGTGGAACCGCACCTGCTAATGGCTGTTTGGAGGCGCTTTTCTATGTGTTTTATAAATCGGCAGCATTAAGCCCTGGCACTGAGGTTGCTGGGCTTGCAGTGAGCCCAGTGCTGTCCCCCCCCCGGCCCTGGATCCCGCGGCAGCAGGAGCTGCAGCCCGGCTGCTCCCAGCCGCAGCTCCCCGCTGCCTTTCCAGAGGTGACACAAACAGCCCGACGACCGACCGGCTCCTTCCAGAAACAAACGAGTTGGGTGACTTTTCATGCCAGAAATGCAATTAATGCTCTCCCAAGCCTTTAAAGCTCCAGATGTCAGCTCCCCTGCCGTTGTAGTTGCCAATCCACGCTGGGAAGAGGAGCTGCTGCTTCCGTGTAGGGCGTCCGTAGAGCAAGCGCCAGCTCAGGCGCCGCGGGCTGGCGCACACGCCGGCCTCTCCCCGTCAGCAAACAGGGATCGGCGAAGGGCGCGGGGACCGGGCGGCTTCGGGCAGCGGCCGGGGAGCGGAGCAGCGACGGGCTCGCCACCGGCCGCCGTGCAGAAGCCGATCGAGCGAGCTGCTGCCCCGGGTCGCTCGTGCGGGGTGGCCCAAGGACACCCCGGGCCCGGCACCCCCTCGCCCGCTCCGTACCCGCTGCTGGGGGGGCTGAGATCCCGGCCTGAGTAAAGGGCGGGGACACCGGCCGACAGCCTGTGCCAACGCGGTGCCGTACGGGCGAGCACGTGCCCGGCCGCGGAGCAGAACCTGCTGCCGGTAACGGAGCCGCCACGGCCCCGCAGACGCCTTCACCCCCCACCCCCGGGACCGCTCCAGCTGCACCCGCGCAGACAGCGGCCCCGACGGCTGCCAGGCCGCCTGTTCTCCGGCTGTTCCTCCGGCCGGGAGCACACACACCGGCTCCCTCCCAACACTCCTCACATCAGCCCCTCTGCTTCGAGCCCAATTCTTTCATTTGCCCTCCTCCTTGCTTAAACCTTAAGTGAGGTCAGAGCAAGCTTCCCAGCTCTTGCTTTGTCCAGAGGACACGGTGGGGCTGGCAGAGGAGGATGACTGCTCCTCGCTGCTGCTTCTCCAGCCCCGTGAGGCCACCGTGCGAGGGACGGCCAGGCCAGCAGACACGGAGCTCTTGTGGTGTGGCCACCTGCACAAGGGAAACAACTGAACCCGCCGAGCCCTCCCAGCTGCCCGAGCTGCAGCAGGCTCTGAGCTCGCCAGCTCTGCTTTTCCCTCCCCTGACGCTTTGCAGTTTCTTCCATCTCTTCTGCAATTGCTGTTTTTTTTCGGTGACAGGGCACTCGACCGAAGGCCAGGCTGCCCAGCTCGCTCTCCACGCGCCACCACGGGCAGAACTGGGAAGCCCAGGAGGGCGGCTGCTGTTCCCACGGGATGTGCTGCGGGATGTCTGCGCTTCCCCGAGGCTCCCACCCCGCCAGCCTGGTGCCCGCAGCGGTGCCGCCGGGGCCGGAGCTCAGCTGTGGGCTGGGGGCACGCGCAGTCCCCCCGTGACAGAGAGGGGTGGCCGGGCACAGACAGAAACACGGCACCAGCCTCCGCTGGTACCCATGTCTGCCACCACCACAACGTACATCCCCGCCAACGCCACCAACACACGCCCACGGGACCCCCCGCACCCCGACCCACCCACACCCATGGCCCCCCGCACACGCAGGGGCTGTGCCTGCCTGCACACCCACTCGCCCCCCACGTGCCCGTGGGCTAGGGCGCTCGGACACGGGTGGAGTGGGTCACAGTGCCCACCCCCAACGCTGTCACACCCGGGGGGGACACGGACCCCCGCGCAGGACACACGCCCACGCACCCTCCCAGTCACGCACCGGTACCCGCGCTGGCACCACGCTCCCACCCGCGGGCTGTGGAGCGGCCGTACCTGTGCCGGGGGCGGCGGAGCAGCAGCAGCAGCAGCGGCAGGAGCGGGAGCAGCCGCGGTTCCCGGAGCGGATCCCGGAGCGAATCCCGGCGCGGTTCCCGGAGCGGATCCCGGAGCGGTTCCCGAAGCGGTTCCCGGAGCAGCCCCCCCCGGCGCGGTTCCCGGAGCGGATCCCGGCGCGGTTCCCGGAGCAGATCCCGGCGCGGTTCCCGGAGCGGATCCCGGAGCAGCCCCCCCCGGCGCGGTTCCCGGAGCGGATCCCGGCGCCCCCCGAGCAGCCCCCGGCGCAGCGGCGCGGCGGGGCCGCCCATGTCCCGGACATGCCGGGGCCGGGCCGGGCCGCGCTTATCGCCGCGCCGTGAGTCAGCGGGGCCGGGGCGGATCCGGGATGCGGCTTCCTGCCCCCCCGCCGGCCCGGCCCCCCCCGGCCCCGCTCAGCCCCGGGGGCAGCGGGAGGCGGCAGCCGGGCCCCCCCCGGCGCTTTCCCGACCCCTTTGCGTGAGCACAAGGACCTGCAGCCCCGTGTTCCGCGTGTCCCTCCCCACTCCGCGGGCACCCCAGGGGTGTTCCTGGTCCCCCCCAGACCCCTGCCAGTAACCGTCAGCTTCGTTTAAAGAGCGAGCAGGAGCCTGCCCTGATTGCAGAGCTCCTCCCCAAAATCCCGAAGGGGTTGTCAGTGGGAGTCGCCCCCCCCCCCAGACTGACTGGGGCACCCTGAGACATCGCACAGTGCAAGAACTCACCCAGGGGTACACGCCGGGGACTCTAGCAGAGATTTTGCACTTTATTTCAGTGATGACACTACTGAGCTATCTCAGAAGTTCGGACGGGGCAGCAAAGTGCCCCCCCCCCCCCCCCCCCGTACCTGGGAGCTGGGCATGCTCAGCCTTTGGGCAGCTACAGCTTAAACCAAGCCTAAACCCTGGGCTTGGAGAGGGAGCTGCAGAACGGGCACAGCCTTGGGGTACGGAGCGGAGTCGGGCAGCCGGCCACCCCCATCCCCACCCCGGGAAGGGCTCCGAGGGCCTCAGACGTGAGGACGAGCAGGGGTTCCCAGGAATTTCTGCCCGCATCCATCTGTCTGCAAAGAAGCTAACTACAACCCATTTGCTAACAGCTGCTCATGCAGTAGGAAGTAGCTGTTGAAACACTCGAACACAGAAATACTTAATTATCAAACTTTAATTCATAGGACTAATCTTACAGAATAAAACAATAGGATAACCAGTCAAGGTTACACTTAAAAAATCCAGCAGTGCAAATCTAAGACTAAATATTTGTCATCTCCCCCTCCCCTGAAATAGGCAATAGATTATTTAAAAATACCATTAATACATGGTACTTACATATTCCATTTAAAATAAATCTGCAGCGGACACAAATATCTAAGACTTTTTTTTTAATATAAAACTAAAGAACAAATTGCTTAGAATATGGATAAGACATAGTGAACTTCCATGAGCCACAGAAAACGGATCCTTGGCTAGAAGGTGAAGTGGCCATATGCTTCGTACAAGACTTGCTACGGCTCTCCCGGCCCCCCTTCTCCCTCCCCCCGGTGACGAGGACATTAATTAACAAAGCCAGATGCCAACAACCTAACCCCAAGAGCTGGCAAAAGGCTGGGGTACGAAACTCGAAATGGAAACAGTTCACCGGAGAAATCAAGTCACAGGGGAAGAAAAAGTAAACAAAAGGAGGGAAGTTTGGAAGCCACGCTTGCCCGGCCGGGTTGGCCCGGCGAGCAGGCGGCGCGGGGGAACGCTGCCGGCGGGGAGAGCAGGGCCCCGAGCCGCCGCCACTGCGCGGCACCACCCCGGCAGCCACGCTGCGAGCGAGGGGCTTCTCTCTGGCCCCTCCAGCATGAAGCAGCAGCGGACACCGGCCGCGCCGAGCGGGAAGGTTAGCTGGTCATGTGCGTATTGTGCGTTAGCGGTTGCTTATCTAGGTCTTTGAATTCAGATCACTTTTTCTCCTCCATCATCATAGCGTCCTCATTTTAGTTACACGCTTCTCAAACAGCGGAGATGAATGATTTACTTTAATCTTAAACTCGACATGAAAATCTCGCGAGCGATACAAGATCTCCGTGCAGGACAGTCTCCGTTCAAACCCAAGCAAGGCTGAGCGATGTACTTTTGCATTCCCAGTGCAGCACTAATCCTACAGCTGTGTAGGCGTGGGACGCACAGACAGAGCGGGAGGGAATACTAAACTCGGGAGGAGGAGAGCAGAAGGGACGCACAGGACGGCGCCCGGGGGAGCTGCCCCCTCAGTGCCACCGAAGGGCCCGGGGTGCAGCAGGACCCCCCCGGCCGCGCCCCGTGGAAACCTGCGCTGGCATTACGGGTGCTCCAACCCCAGGCAGCGAGGCCGGCCAGGCGCCCCGTACAACTCCACAAGGGCTTGCACCCCAAAACGCTCGCAGGGAATTGCACGTATGTGCAACGGGGATCTGACCTCCCGCCAACAGACACTGTGAAACTGCAATTTAACTGAAATGAACCTCTGCGCGAGAATCGCCAGGTGTTACCACAAACGTCCTACGGGAGGTCACGCGTTGGATCTCAAAGCAACCTACCAGCCAGCTCGAGCCACTGATTGCATTTGCACTTTACTCACAACGCTTGTGTCTCGCCGAGCGCCAAGTGCTGCGTTCCTGCACAGGACCGTTTGTTACGCTGCATCGGCCCTGGAGATGATCACAGCTACCAGCGAGTAAAATCCAAAGCCAAGAGAGAGGTGAGCAAACGGCTCCCCAGTGAGGCAAGCCGTGACAGTCCCGAACTAGAGAGATGGTGTTTGCTTAGCTGTTAATGATCATTAGTTAATGTCAGTAATTGCCTTGGAAAAAATCAGCATATAGCAGAAGACAAAGCTCCACATCATTCCAAAAGAGGAAGGACCTTAAAAGCAGTGCTGCTAAGTTCAATTGGAATATTAATTTCAAAGAACTCCCAGGAAACCTACTACATGAAGCCAACAAACACCAATTAAAGCATTTTATACAAATATCACTTTCCTGTATTTTAATTCAAACTTTGCGCGTAGAACAAAAAAGTAAGACAATTTCCATTTTCACTTAATCCAACTTGAAAAGAAGCACCTAAAGAGGATCACATTTTCTCAGTTGAGAGTATTTTCTTCTCTGTGTTTAAAACTGCTTTGTAACCAACGGTTTTTATGTTCAGTCTGACTGATTGCACCAGGCACAGGCTGCAGAGTCCTCGTGCCCTTGGGAAAGGAGCAGAGAGGACCGTTAACCGCGGCCCCGTTCCCCGTGGCCAGGACCGGCCCCCCGGCACGCCGGCGGCACCGCGTGCTCACCCGCTCGCCCACCCAGCGCAGGCGCCGCGGGAAGGCTGGGGAGGAGCTGGCACGGAGGCACCTGCCCTCCCGGGGAGCAAACGGAGGAGCAGGAAAGGCAAATGGGATTGATCAGAGGCAGAGACAGGTCCAAGCAAGCCACGCAGCGAGTCGAGGAGCTGACAGTGACAGAGCCAAGAGGGCAGCGAGTGCAAAGGTGACTCCAAGCGACAGAAAGAGCTGCCGCCACCGATGTCCTTTATACCCTAGTGCGTGCTTTCCACCAGGTACTGAATTTCAAGTCGAAGCCCTAACACCAGGACGGCAGTTAGAAGTGTGACAGCCGCACTGCGTTCGCAACGTTACCTCCAGTTAACCGACGCCACCCCCACGACCTGCGCGCTCGCCCCAAGGGGCTGCTCAGGGAGAGCCCCTGGCCCCGGGCAGTCGTGCCCGGACACGCTGCTGGTGGCTTGTAACAGAAAGGAAATCTCTCGAGCGACAGGAGTAACGAGCACACCACTAGCTTATAGGTAGGCTTTGAAACACCTTTAAAATTCATTTTGCATAAATGTTCTAACTGAAAATACAAAACGAGAGCGGCTTATGTGGCTATCAAGAGTCTACGGGTAAATACGTAATCTTAACACATACCATAAAGTGAGCGCTTTTCCCAGTCTCTCAAATAAAATAAAATGAAAATAAATACTCATGTGGGAACTTGCACCTGCTGAGTTTCAACTGGGCTGTTTCAAGGAGAGCGGAAAATGGACATGGAATATATTAAGATCAGCTATTCCTAAAAGGCTGCTGCTTCAGGAGCGTCACAAAATGTTGAGCTACTTGCACTGAGCAATATCAAGCCTACACTGTTAAAAAAAGAACAGCGATCTGTTAGATGCAGGTTTAACACAGAGCAAGACTGATTCAGTCTGACTGCACGATGCGATCTGTTAAGGGTGTGCACCTTTTCCGGACTGAAAGGTCCATTCAGAAAACCTGAGATAAATGGCACGTGAATTGCTGAGATGACACGCGGAGCATCACAAACCAAGGGCGAGGAGCATCACTTCAGACAGGACGGGGCGCAAGGACTTCCTGCAAACTTGAGCAAGAGAAAAGCTGAAAGGCGCTTTAAACTTCAAAAGATCAGTCGCTGGACAGGTACTCTAAATTTGGTAAGATTCACTGGATAAGCGCGCTACGAATTTTCAAATCCAGGTCGCAAGAGACTACTGCAGCTGTTGAGGATGCAAGGCAGCACCTGAGCTCCTCTCCTGCCCGCTCCCCCGCCCCCCAACACGCAGGAGGGTCTTTGGTTCTGCCCCGTCGCGCGAGCTGGGTCGCTGCTTCGCCCGCTCCAGCCAGCCAGCGCTACGCAGCGCGCTCCGGGGCCGCTTTTCTCAGTCAAAGAGTGTCACACAGCTGCAAAAAGGCTCTGGACTGCAACGTGCGTGATGAAGAAAATGCTCCTAAAATGTAGCAGCCCCGGGGGCAGGAGGCAGAGCGGGCGCAGGGAGGGATGCTGGGGGGGAACAACTAACGCGGCACGGAAGGGGACAGTAAAGCAGCACTGGGCCAACCGCTATTACAGAACATCCACAGTGGTATTCATCTGCTCCAAACATGCTACACAGAGTACCAACCCAGGGCGTCTAGTATTGAAAAAAAAAAAAAAACCAAAAAATAATAATAAAAAAAAAAAGGTGAGAGAGCAAAAAAGCAGGGCATCTTTGGGTTAAAAGAAAAAAGTAAAATTAGTTTTGCTACCGAAGAGTCAAACCTGAAAGAAAAGGGCCAGCAGAATATGGCTTACTAAACATCAATTTTGCATACTGTTTAAAGTTTATTTTTAAAAAACTGTTTCTGAAATTCTCAGGTAACTAAATTAAGTCTAACGCTTGTAACTGAAAGATTATGAAAATATTTGTTTTTGTTCAAACCATGTAAAAAATCCTCAATAATACATCGTAATATTTTCTTTTTAAAACTAAATTGGAAGATCAATCCTCAGCAGATTTAAGTGTATTACACACAATATTTTGTGAATGAAGATTTATTGATTTCCATTGTATTTGCTTTAAATATGGTTGTAGCTGACTGCAGAAAAGGGATGGTGAAATTTAAGTTAAAAGTAAACTAATGGTGAAAGAACATCACCTCTGGCTTCCATCAATGCCTCGTTTAGCATATTTTATTAATAAGTTCCAGGACCATCACATCCAGGGATGTTGGAGGCCTCTCCCAGCAGTGTCCTTAGCTTTGTGTCATTTTCCTGTGCCAGAGGTGAGCGTGCTTTCAAAAATACTGCCACTTTCCCAGCACCGTGTCTTTGATTGCATCAACATATTGAGTTGGTACCCAATAGACCCAGTAGTAAGATGCTTCTGTTGGGCCCAGCTGAAATGCCTGCAAAGTTAAAAATGACAACATTTACAAACGGGAAACAGAACAGCTTATACCCATGGACAGATACAGCTTATCCACTGCAAAAACCAGACACGTCTGTTATACCAGCTGCCTCCTCCTTCAAACGCTCGGTGCACATTACAGTTTTTTGGTAAGCAGTTCAAAAAGCGTTCCTCAGAAACAAGAACTGCAAAGTACCAATTAAAATGATGAGCTCTTTCCTTTTACGATATCATAGCAGCAACGAGAACTCCTGGCCAGTTTCAAGAACATGAGGAAGTTATTCTGGAAGACAGAATCTGAAGCATAACTCAGAGTCTCCGAAGAAATTACCAGAATGCACACAGCTGAGAAGCCAAACAGGAACTAAAAGAAGACAATGACCATGTTTTCATAGTCATAAAATTTCATAGAATTGTATAGCTAGACATAAAGCCCTACTCTCAATTTATGTCAGCGTATCTAGGAGAGAAGCACCATGGCATGCCAATAACCTCTAGCTTTGCTTTAGGATGAGTTTATTGTAGTATATTCTAAAGAGGATATTTGCTCACATGGGTGATCAAAAATCAAGTATTTGGACAAAGACTACCTCAGCACCCTTGTGCAGAAATTAATTTTAAGGTATAACATTTCCCCTTTCTTCCCCTAAAGAAGGAAACAACTTATATAAGGAACCTACTTCAACATTAAAGGTTACTGTACTTTGGAAAGCAAGACCCCAGGAAAACCCATAGAGTAAGAGAAACAGCCAAAAATTCAGTAGAATTAGCACACCACTCAAACGTGTTCCTTTTTCTAGACCCAATACCATTTTTTTCAGAAAATTACACACAGAAAAAAAAATATTACAGAATCACTATTTTTTTTTTTACCCTTCAGCAAGACCTGTTGTTTATATAAATACAACAGAAATTAGAAATCAAACTAGATACAGGAAATTATCACTAACAGTAAAACATCATGAGCCATATTGTATTTCTACTGTTTTAACACTGTCACAAGACAGAAGATACGAAGTCTGAAACCAGCCCGGATTTCCACAAAGTAGCAGATACTCAGTATGCCACCGTCCTATTTCCACCGTGGCAGCAGACCATGTCCACATTCCCACGGCACATGAGGCTGGCATCACTACCCATCTCCAACTTGCTCCATTTTAAAAGCCTGACTTGTGTGTATCTGCATGAGGTAATGAGACTGGATATATTAAAGTAGAGACAATACTTACCATCATGTGATAATCCTCATGTCCTTCAATAGGTTCACTCACCACATTTTTAATGGACCCCATGGGTAACTTTTCTGTTCTCTCTACATTAAAATTGATCAAAGTATTACTTTTGATACATGAGGAAGCAGTATTTCACATTCATTTCAAATACCACCTCCATTACTTCCAAAAGCTCCTCACGTCAGCAGTCTCCTCTTTGGCTGAACTCTGGATACCTGCTGCCGAGAAACCCATCTTCCACATTAACGCATACCCCACAGCTGGCACCCTAATAATTTAAAGGAATCCAAAGCTGGATCACACAGTTCCTCGCATTTTATGTCTCTGCATCGCCTACTTCAGCGTACCTGGTCCGGGTCTAAACCGAGGGATGGGAAAACCCTGGCTTCATTTAATGTTTCCCCACAAGGAACTCCACCTGGACCAGGGGGATTACTGGCCATAGTGAAAGCTGGTCCACATGTGAGAATATTCAGGACTGACTACCAAGGATTATACTAAACTCTGCAGAAATGACAGGGCTGCACGTGGAATGAAGACAGGCTAACTAACTAACTCTTTGAAAGCCTAGTGCTGGTTTTACCCTGAGGCCTTGGTTCAACTGTTACTGTAAAAGCGCAGGGCAGGCAATATTAATGAGTAAATAGGGAAAGAAACAAAAGAGAAATTGAAAAAAATAAGAGATGACTAAAATTACATTTCAGAGTAATGCCAGCCAGCCAGAGGTAACCAGCAAGAATGACAAAGTGTACGGTTCATGGCACTTTTTCTGCCTCAGTTCTGTCCTCAATTCTTTCTGAAGACTGAACTCCAAGATCCTTCCTTTCAGCTGCAGCTTTCAGCGTCAGCCTAAAATCACCTTCTTGGATACAAGACAGAGAAAACCATAAACACGCTACAACAGAGAAACTGAACTACGAGTTCCTTTGATATATCTAACTAACTTGTGTGACAAAAAAAAAAAAAGGCACCTACCCAAAATAGGCACACAAGGAGATAAACGTAGTGATGTAAAGACAAATACGCTCTACCCCAATGCTGTAACCAAGCTGGCTCTGAACTACCCCACTTGGACTCAGGACATTCATTCATTGAGTAAAATCTTACTCTGCACTCATTTAGCATCCCGCAAATCAATTACTCTTCACAATATCTCAGCAACAGATGAATCCGTATTATCAACACCTCTACAAAAATGACACAGAGCAACTAAGAAACACCTCTCTATACCAACCCTTAGACTACAAAAATGAACAATGTGATCTGTGAAGCACAGGGAGCCTGTGTGGGGGAAGAATCAGGTTCAACTTTCCAGGACTAGCAAGTGAAAAACTGTGTTAACACCCAGTTGGTTTTATTCTAGCCCTTACGTGCTGGCATCTGCCATGAATTTCTCAGAGTAGGAAGGAGCTTTTCCCAACAACAGCCAGCAATTACAACCATTCCCTAGAGGAAGCAAGCTGCTGCTAATTTTGGGAAGTAGGGAAACAGGTTACATGAAAGACAGATGACTACAAGAAGATTCAAATTTCACAGCTTAAGAAACACACTAATCTAGAACACTTCACAAATACTAAACTTGAAACTCAGGTAGAAGGTGAAGGAAGAGGATTAATTACCTAAATATTAAGCACATATTTAGAACACATTATCAGTAACAGAAGGATCTGCCTGCCCAACCTAGAGAGGAAAGAAACCCCCAACGTCTCGCTCCATCACTCAACCCGGGAGAAAAATCACTGCAACTGGTACCAATAGAGGTTTTACAGCCAGAAAAATCTTTACAGTCAAGTCTGTCCTACAAAGGAAAGGTCAAAAACTTCTGAGATTTCTGCTTACTTTGGAAATAACGTAGCAGCTGGAGGTGCCATTCCAGGCTAATATTACCATCCAATTAGGTTACTTTACTGGGACAGTGAGCAACCACTTCTATTCCTCTTGCTCATCACTATAAAATTGCCCCATCCTGGTCAAACTAAGGGAGCACAGCTTCCTCTGGAGTCAGGGGGTTATCTGAGACGTCCTCAGCAACGCACGTTATCACCACAGCACTTTCAGCTCCTCCTGGCACCACTCAAGACGGTAAACTGATCCCTCTGCACAGCAACACATGCCAGAGTTCTGCAGCTGTACATCACTGAAACAAGACACCCAACTAATTTTGGTTGGAAGGACAGATAATGACAGAGATGCCAGCACTCCTCCTTTTAATGCCGGTCCTAGGATTCCCTTTCGAGTCTTTGCCAAGTCACTGAGCCTCTATGTGATGTTGGCATCAAACCAATGTTTAGGAAGTGCTTTTGAGATATGCTAGAAATGCCAAATATTGTCATTTACATTTGGAGCTGTGAGTAGCAGACTGGAACATAAGTCTGCTGGCACAACTGACCTCAAGTTTTTCAAGAACAGAAGTAAAGTATCAGGTAATAATCAATGACCTGGGAGAATGCCATTTGAGAAGAGGAAGCAAATCATAGTTTTGAAGTATTACAATACCAGCATTATTCCCTAAACACAATTTAGTCACACCAGAAGCTATTTCTACGTCACACAATTCACTTATAGCCCAATTACCAATTATTCATCTCAGAGTTTTAGGGCTGCTCACCTTTTGTACCAATCCACAGCTGGTCTTGCTCAAGTTTAAAGGTCAATCTTACTTTCCCCCTGACTTGTTGTACATGCCAGATAATGGCACTGTTGGCAGGCGCTCCTACAAAGAGGCAACATAGTAAGTCACAGTGAAGAACTTTAAGAGGAAAAGCTACATTCTCTTAACTTTGTAAAACCACAGAAAAATCTCTCTTCTGATTACGACAATGCCTCAGGTACTTATTTACTTACCTGAACGCCTTTAACAGAAGGCATCACATCATCAGGTTTTCCTTTATCCAATACTTTTCTGTGTTGCTACAATATAAAAACAGAAATCAGAAGTTACAGAAGCACAACAGAGCTCTTCAATTTACTGCCAGCTGCACCCTTGACCACATTGCGACAGCACTAAGAGACAGTTAAGGACTATTTGCAGTCATTTATCACACAGGAAACAGTTAATTTTCAAAGTTAACTGAGCACTTTCTATGACAGTCTAAAGAAGTGATACAAATGAATAAAATCCCAATATAATGCAAAGCATAACATCCCTTCTAGAATATATAAACCCATCAAAGCATAACATCCCTTCTAGAATATAAATACCCATCTTTACAAAATTTAAAAATCCCAAGTCCCACTTTAAGATCATACATGCTGAATCACATAGGTGGCATTTGGCAAGACAGTTTTAACAGTTAAGTGTTATATCCAGTGAATGGCAGAAAACCCTCTGCATCTGACAGTGCAACATACCGCAACACAGCGCCAAACCAGAACAGATTAGAGCAGTAGTAGCTACGAAAACCATGCTCACAGCTTGTAAGTTGCTGAGTACCTTTAAACAATGATGGAACTTACAGTGAACGTGAACTATGATAAATTATAGAAAAACAAAAGCATGTTTCATAAAGGTTGCAGTTTAGTGATGCACTGTTTAATTTTTAATCAAATTTATTCTGAGGAAGGTATGGGGCCAGTAATACCTCGAGCTGAAAAATCCTTTTTCAGCCCCACACCACTGCAGCACCGCCACCAAACCAAGCCTCGCTGCACTGTACTTCACTCCCTACGCGCAGGCAGCACTTCAGGACGCGACAGGAGGATCCAACATCCCCGTCCCCTTCAGTGCTGCGACAGCTGAACAAACTACTCTCTTGGTGTTCATTTTAAAGGCAGTTTTTGGAGATCAAATTCTTTTACGCCAACAAAAGTTAGTTAGTTTTTAGATATAATTAATTTAGACTGTCCTTGAGATATCAACCACGAAACATTTCTATTATTTACCCTTTCTTATCTGAAATGCCAGGCTGTACCTAGCACCAGCACCAGTGGTGTCTAGCAAAGCCCCAGCCTCCACCAGGCTACACGTTTTCCTGCTGCTAGGACTCCTCTGCACAGAGCCCTTCGTCGGCTGCTCAGCTGTGAGAAAAGAAACCCCAGCCTGCTCTGAGGAGAAACAGGACCCATCGGTGACTGCAGAGAATTGCAGAAGAACCACGTAAATCCTACAGCTCCCCCATGCCAGGAATTATTGAGACATCAATAACCTTTTGTCTGCAGAGCGGCTCCTTTTTGTTTTCTTCGGCCTTGACCTCCTGTTGAGCAGCTTCTTTGGGTGTGTTTACTGCTAAGACATCATTGATAGTGGAGCCGACAACCATTATTTTTGCGCCGTTTGTTACTTTGATTTCCCGCAACGTTTTCTCCTCGGGCAGAAGTCCCTTGAACATAACTTTCTGCATGGCAGGGGGAAGGCCTAAGGGGCAAGCACAAGGATTACGAGGCTGCGCGCCGGCGGCGAGGGGAGCCGCGGGCCGAGGCGGGAGAGGCGGCGGCAGCCCCGACAGACCTGTGAGCGAGTGGATCTTCTGCTTCAGCTCGGCCCCCGTGCTGTCCAGGCAGAACTTCACGTCGTACTTGTTCTTGTTCCAGATAACCTTTAGCTCCACCAGCTCCTTCCCGCCCTCCGCGTCGCCGCCGTTGCTGACAGCCGCCTGCGGGGGGTCCCGGCGCTCCTCGCCCTCCGGAGACCGCCCCGCCGCCGCCGAGCCGCCCTCCCCGCCGCAGCCCGGCGGCAGCTCCTCCGCCTCCATGCCCGGCTGCTCGGCACCTGGAGGCGAGCGGACACGGGCGGGAGGAGCCGGGCCCGCGGGAAGCTGCACCGCCCGCCCGCCCGCCCGCGCCGCAGCCCCGGAGCGCCGCCCGCCCGCCCGCCCGCCCGGGGCCGCCGCCCGCCGCCCGCCTCCCGCCTCCCGCCTCCCGCCGCGCCTCGCCCCGCCGCCGGCACCGCGGGCTCCTACCGTCGGCAGCGGCGGAGGCGGCGGCGGCCATGATGATTGTGTACAATCTGCCGCGGGGCCCGCCGGGAAACGCCCACCGCGGTCTGCTGGGCCGCGCCGGCTCCCGTAGCCCGGCCCGGTGGGCGGGGCGGGGCGGGCCGCAGGGGGACGCGGGAACGGGCGGCCCGGCCCTTCTTCTTCCCCGGTCCCCCTCGGGCAACCGAGCCCCGCGCTGCCGGTGCTGCGCGGCGGAAAGAAGAGGAGGAAGAAGAGGAGGAGGAGGAGGAGAGGTGGCGGCGCCTTTACGGGGCGCCCCGCCCCCCCGGCGGCAGCGCGCCCCGCGATTGGCTGGTCGCGCCCGGGCGGAAGTAGCGGCGCGGCGGGATGGCGCGAACGCTGCGGGCGCTGCGGGGCCCGGGCCCGGGGCGGGGCCCGCGGGTGCGCTTCGGGCCCAGCCCCACAGGTAACGGCGGCCCCCGGCCCCCCGCGGGCGGCGCCGCGTTGGGGCTGCAAAACCGCGAGTTCGGGCAGCTGCGGCGCGAGCGCCGGCGCTGAGGGGGCGCGGGGCCCCCCCCGGGCCGCCCCCGCCCCGTCTGTGCGGAGAAACAGCCGCGGGGGCCGCGTGGTCCCTCCCGGTGACCGGCCGCGAGTGGGGTTTCCTGGCGCCGAGCGGTTTGTAAGGAATTCCCAGGTCGCTTCAGGCACTGCGTTCTTGGGGGGCCGCCGGTCGGCGCCACCGGTGATTTATTCCCGCAGCAAGTGCCCACGAAGCCGGGGGGTGTCTGCAGCGCCCCTCCCCGCCCCCCAGTTAGCGCTTAACGTCCCAGCCCAGGTAGCACTGCCCTCCCGGCTCATCTGTCAGAACCTCTCTTGGGCCTTCAGTATTGTCATCTCTGATTTCCCCGCGGTAACAGGTTTCCTGCATTTGGGCGGCCTTCGGACTGCTTTGTACAATTACATTTTTGCCAAAAACACCAAGGGACCTTTGTTTTGAGAGTGGAGGATACCGATCAAAATCGAGTGGTGCCTGGAGCTGCAGAAGGAATAGAGGATATGCTGGATTGGGCAGGTATTTGCAGACATCTTTCGTTTTTAACTTACTGAAAGATTCTCTTACGTACCCAAATTGAGAGTATTTTGCACAGTAGCAAGCTGTGCATTGTTTCAGATGGTGAATTAGTTGAAATGTAGTTATTTATGCAGCTAGACATCAGGACAATCCTCCTGGAAGTAGGTTTTATAGCAGAAATAACTGGTTCAGCGTGGTTTCTGTGGGCTGTGTTGCCTGACACAGAAAGATCCGAATTTGTGAAAGTGGCCCAATGCGCAGGTGTAACAAAGGATGCGCACGAGAGACTTGAGGGGGAGGCCTGCAGTTGGAGCTTACAGACCACACTGTAAATTCATAAGTTGTTTGTATACGGAGTATTTGCTCAAGGGGGTCTGGTGGTGTCAGTTTGCATTTTGAATCCTCTGCTTCTCCCGGATCTTAAGAACTAGAAGTGAGGGTGACTTTAGAATACAGAATTGTGATAAAGTTAGAGCCAGATCCCACAGGTGCTGCCGTTAACGGGGAGGTGTCATGGTTTAACCTGGCAGGCAGCTAAGCACCACCCAGCTGCTGGCTCCCCCCCACCAGTGGGATGGGGGAGAGAATTGGAAGAGAAAAAATGTAAAATCTAGGGGTTGAGATAAAGACAGTTTAGTAGGACAGAAGAAGAAAGGAAAATAATAATAATAGAATTAGAATATATGAAACAAGCGACACACAGTGCAATTGCTCACCACCTGCCGACAGATGTCCAGCCAGTTCCTGAGCAGCAGCCCCCCAGCCAGCTCTCCCCCCAGTTTATATACTGAACATGACACCACATGGTCTGGAAGAGAGAGCCCTTTGGCCAGTCGGGGTCAGCCGTCCCAGCTGTGTCCCAGCTGCTTGTGCCCCCCAGCCTCCTCACTGGTGGGAGGGTGTGAGAAGCTGGAAAGTCCTTGACTTAGTGTAAACACTGCTCAGCAACAACTAAAACATCGGTGTGTTATCAAATGTTATTCACATCCTAAATCCAAAACACAGCACCATACCAGTTGCTAGGAAGAAAATCAACTCCATCTCAGCTGAAACCGGGACAGTAGGTAAGCTTTAAGGGGTTAGGACTTTGCTGGTGAGCACTAACTTTGGAGTAGGTAAAATAGTTGGCTGAGGTGGCAGCGGTATTTTTATGCTACGAGTGTTCTTTGCTATAAGGAGGGTGGATGCTACTCTGTACGTGTACACCAGACTGCATTTTGCTCCCGGTAGTGTATCAGAGCTGTTCAAGTGTTTATTAGTTTCTGGTGGTTTTTCCCACTTGTTGCTTCATAAACAATAGTCTAAATTCTGGTGAGGTGGCTGCTGTTGATCTCCTGAGTCCAGGGGAGTCTGACTTCTGTGCTAGACAGGTGCCATTAGCTGGCTGCCCTGGAACAGAAACCAGCTTTGGATGCTCTCTGGAGCCTTGCTGTTTCACCTTCATTCAGTGTGCTCCGATGGTGCGTTTCACTCTGCCTTTTTACAGGCTTTTTATGTCCCGTCATACTGATGTTTCAGGTATTCCTCCTGATGAGAGTCCTCGCCGTGGTGGTGCCTTTGGACCCTACCAACAGTCGCACAGACTTGACCTTTACAAGAGAGCCAGCGACCTGCTTTTGGAGAGAGGCGCGGCGTACCGCTGCTTTTGTACGCCGCAGCGCCTGGAGCTGCTGAAGAAGGAGGCATTGCGGAGCCAGCAGACCCCGCGGTAGGGATTCCATGTCCCCTGGGTGGTTCCCTCTGTGCTGCACACTTGTGAAAACGTAACGACAGCGTGCGCAGCAGTAGGCTTGCAATCTCACTGCCTTGCAGAGAGAGAAGCCAGCGTAACCCTTAGAGGCTTGAGGGAGTGGCTGGACGTGTAGTGGGCCGGCTACAGCTAAAATTCAGGGATCAATTTAAGTTTTGGGAATGTGGAAATGGCTGACGGGGTTGGCCTGTGTTGAGCTGAGACCTTGGCTCTTCTTTCTCAAAGATACGACAACCGGTGTCGGCACCTGACGCCCGCGGACGTGTCCGAGAAGCTGTCGCAGGGCCTTGGCTGGGTAGTCCGCTTCCGGCTGGAGAAGGGGGTGGAACCCTTTTGGGACCTGGTCCACGGGTGGAGCAAGCACGAAGTGGCTGACGTGGAAGGCGACCCGGTGATTCTCAAGGGGGATGGCTTCCCAACTTACCACCTGGCAAACGTGGTGGACGACCATTACATGGGCATCAGCCATGTTCTGCGGGGAACCGAGTGGCTGACTTCGACGTCCAAGCACCTCCTTCTCTACAAAGCCTTTGGCTGGGATCCCCCTCAGTTCGGTCACCTCCCGCTGCTCCTGAACAAAGACGGTGGCAAGCTGTCGAAAAGGCAGGGGGACATCTTTCTGGAGCGCTTTGCTCAGGATGGCTACTTGCCAGAGGCCCTCCTGGACATCATAACCAACTGTGGCTCTGGATTCACAGGTAATGGCAGCAGGCTGGGTACTTGCTAGGACACTTCTTGATGCCAACTTTGGGGAACGGGGTAAGCGTATTTTAATAGCCGAGAACTTTGACAGTGTTCAAAGGGATCGGGAAATGGGTGTCAGGTGACCAGTCTGTCACTGAAGTGCCACCAGGGCTTCTGGAGCTCCCGTGAAAGATGAGGTGGTGAGCTGGAACGGTTGGAATCTTCCTGCCTCTCTGCAGCCATTTAAATTGAGTCTGATGCTTAATGGGTTCTCACTTGGGGCAACATTCATCTCAAGGTGAAGAAACTGTCTGTGAACTCTTGGGAAAACTTGTATTCTGTGATTAATAATTACACTGTTGTGTATTACATCTGTTGCACTTCTCGTTTAACCAGAAAGACCATGAGAAGTTGAGTCAATGACTCTTTTGTTGCTCTTGCTGCATGGGGATCACAAATTAACTTATGTTTCGGGAATTCTGCTTGGGATTGAAACCTTTCTTGGGCAGTGGAGCCTCCTGGCCGAGAGTTACGTTTTTTTTGGCTGACTGATGGAAGGGGTGTTCCACTGAGGAAGGTAATAGTGCCAAGCAGAATGTCCCAGTTCCTCGCCAGCAGTCAGCAGAGCCCGCTCGTAGGGAGAGGGCAGCTTCCTGTGTGTGCCTGCTACAAGTTCCCTCCTGTTTGCTGGGGTATGTCCCCGTTAGCCCTGTGACAAGTGGCTCTCCCGTGTCACTTCTTCCTTGGGTGTGCTGCTGCCCCAGCCTTGCGCCTGAGGCTTCCGGTGAAACACAGTGACACCAGTTCTCTGCAGGAGACTGGATGTGTATTACTCCCTTGTTGGGTTATTTTGCAGAGAAACAGATGGGGAGGACTCTGGAGGAGATGATCTCACAGTTTGAAATAGGCAGAATTACAACCCATTCTGCCCTCCTGGATCTTGAAAACCTTCCAGAATTCAACAGGTATAAATATCAGTGGTAACTTTAAAATTAATCTGTACATCAGCGAGAATTTGTTCCTAGCACGTGGCTTTGCCTGGCGATTTTGCTTGCTGGATCAAGCACGGTCCCAGTGCGGCGGCTTTGTGGCCATGCTGCAGCAAAGTACAAGTTCCTGCTTACACTGCTCCTGCCTGTGCTTGGGTGCTGGTGTTGGGTGCACTGTAAGAACCTGGGCAGATGGGGTGTAGCGAGGATGCAAGGTCTTATGTTTAGATTCAAAATAATATCTAAAGAGAGGCGACGCTTCCAGAAGGTACTTCTGCAAGTACACTCGTGTGCTGCGGGGACGTTGTGCTGCTGAGAGTTACCACATCTTTTGTTCACGGTGGTGCATCAGAGCTAAAGGCTTTGTTGTAGAATGTCTGTCTGGGGTTTAGTGTTGCTTTTCTAACAGTTCTGCAGTTTTCATTAGTAAATGCTGTGAGGTTGGGACGATTAGATTCAGTCTAACCCCAGTTTTCTTTGTTACAGGATTCACCTCACCCGTCATATTGAGAACGAAGGGCTGCGACAGAAGCTAATTAGAGAGTTGCAGTTGCTGGTGGAGCACGTCTATGGGGATCAACAAGTGGATCAAGAGGTTCTAGAAAAGGAGTACGTGGAGCGAGTCCTCCTGCTGAGAAAAGTATGAGCAGTGATAGCATTATGTCACTGTTTTGGGGACCTGAGGTTTTGTGGGATTCCTGGAGGAAGATTCAGCTGAGTCCTGGGCACTGCTTTGATCTGAGCTCTGCAGCTCCACAGCCCACCAGTGGCTGTCGCTGGCCGCTCAAGTGGTTGTGTGCACGATGACTGCCAAAATCCGACGATACAGTTAGCTGAGCTGCAGGAACAGGCATGGTGAATATCTTAGTGGCCTTTTGCAGATTCCCAAGCTCATCTGTCCTTTGCCGAGCCAGCAGAGAGCTCCCTTGGCAGAGGAAGGGTGAGTCCCTGCCATGAAAGTGGGTCATGGAATTGTAAGATAGCTCTTGGAAGACCTCTCTGGTTCCCGCTCAGAGCAGGACGGTCAGTAGTGCTGGGTAAGGTCAGCTGTGGCTGCGTCTGGATGAGTGGTGACAACCTCCAAGCTGCCCTTCTCCTGTGGCCCAGGATGCGGGTGGCTTGTGGGGGGAAGGTCCAGCACCCGGGGCCCCTCACGCCAGGGCACTGCCCACCTCCAGCTTTTGCTGACCGGGCAGCGTAAGGCACTTCTGCTTTGCTGCTGCTCCACTCTTTGGAAGCAGAGTCAGAGCAAACTCTTTGCAGAGGTAGGTGAAGCTCTTGGTTAAACTAGTGGGGTTTGTGCAGTGGGAGCCCCGGGCTCGGGAAAGTGGCAGGGTGCTGGCTGTGCAGGAGACAGAACATGTTGCGGCATTTCCCAGCGCCAGGAGGGAGGACGAGCCCAGCTGTTTCCCAGTCTGCCCCTGGGATGTGGTTGAAGTATCTGGGGGATTCCTTGTGAAGAATAAAGCCTTCTTTGTAGGGGCAGGAAGGGGCCCGACTGTCCCAGTGTGAAGGCTTCGCTGTGGCGGCGGGCTGGCTGACTCACGTGAGCCCCCGCGGCCGGCTGAAAGGCGGCAGATGAACGTGGCAAGCCACTTCCCTGGGCCACCTCTGAGTCAGCCCGCGCGCGGCTCTGCAGCACGGGTACAGCCACAGCCCCCCGCGCCGCTTCTGCCTCTGCGCACACCCGGCGGTTACGGGGGTGACAACCAGCTGCCTGCATGTCAGCAGCGATTCACATTTCCGCCGAGCAGTACGAAGCACAGGGCAGTGGTGTGTCTGGACCCGCTTTTAACTGTCTGTGAAGTCCAGGCTGAATGAGTTTGCTTCCCCCACAGCTTAACCCTCAGCCTTGACAGCTTTGCTTTCTCTCCCCAGGGTCACATAAGCTTCCTGAAGAATCTGGTGTCGTGTGATTATTCTTACCTGTGGGTTAGGCCCTCGGTGTCTCGAGAGCAGCTACAAACTATTTCTGCAGAAGCAGAGGAAATAGGAAAACTAGTCTTAGGGTAAGTATCTCTTCCCAGTTCTGTATGCACCCAGTTCTGTTGCTCTTGGCTGCTGTCTTGATGTTGGACATGCTCGTAGTTCTTGTTTGATTTGCTCTACTTTGGAATGTGCTGTAGTTAATAACTGGTGCGATATTCACTGGTTTTAATTGAAAGGCAGCTTGCTAGTGGGAAAGCTCACATCAGTGCTCTCAAGCGAGAGTTGTCACATCTGGGTTTGGTAAAGCACCAAGCACAGCGGAGTTTGTGTGCCGGCGTGGCGCTAACGAAGCAGGGGTGTTAGCAGGGTTCTCCCACCTGATCTCCTGTGCTTTCGTCTGCTGTAGCATCGAGCCGGAGAAGTACAGAGTGGTTTTGGTCAATGTGTGTTCAGACCGATTATGCACTGAGAGTTCTGGGTCTCTGGAACAAACCCAGTTTGTGTCCAGCCGGAATCACCATCCCTTCCGAAAAGCCCATCCCCGAGGGGCTTTTGCTGCTTCCATTTCTTTGTTTCTAGCTAGCAGTCTGCAGCTCTGTCTGCTCAGAAACATTGCTGGGATGGCAGACAGTCCTTCTGGGCCCGTGAGTTTTGTGGGGTTTTGCCAACGTGTTTCACCGCTGCCCCGTGTCCCTCTGCTACTCCACACCTTGCAGCTCGGCTGGGTGGTATGTCAGTCTCCTTTCCAGTTCAGATCTCACATCTGAACTAAAATGAGCCCTGAAAACCAGTTTGGGGAGTAATTAAGGTGGCAGTATCTGCGAATTGAGCTGTTATTTCCAGATATCTGTAAAGTTGTTTGCCCTCGGTCATTTATCACAGCTGAGTGGTAACTGGATGGTTGTGATGGTAATTTAAATGTCAGAATACTCGCTGTCCTGGAGGGATAATAGTGCTGCTACCTACAGCTGCGTAGTGGCAGCGATGGCTCCTGCACCTCTAAAAGTCATATTAAAAAAGAAATCAGAATTACTGCTTTTCCTGTGGTTTTCCAGGTCCTTGGCACAATTTCATGACTGAAACTTGATGCTTGCTTTTCTGAACAAGCTCTGCTCCTGGTGCTGCTGAAGTAGATGAAGGGTGCGGTTCCGCCAGGTTTCCGCAGCGGCGAGGGGGTGACGCACCGGCCCGCCCGGGGGGGGGCCCCTGCACCCAGGGGGGTGCCCTGGCACAGAGCAGGGTCGGGGGCAGCCGACTTCACCTTGGACTGCTGCTGCTGACAGGAGAGTTTGCAAAACCAGTCTGAGGCAGCTGGCAGTCGTCGAAGTCACTAGTCATCTCTGGGTAGGAATCCTGTGTTTTGTGTGGCCCTGGACTGTAAGGACATCTTGTTTCCTAAAGGCTCGTGACAAGGCAGTCAGCTGTTTTGACTGTGGAGGAGCTGAACAACGACCTGAGAAGCCTCCAGAAGCAAACCAAAGAGACGAAGTATAGCAGCATGATGCAGCTTCTTCGCTTGGCTCTCAGTGGGCAGCAGGTAAAAAAATAAAAATTCTGAGACGGGGACTTTCTTTTTTTTTTTAACAGCTATCTTCTCTCTGATAGCAAGATACTGGTATTTGGACATCTCACAAGAACTGACGTCAGTTTCTGTTACGAGCAAATACAGCAGTTCTGAAGAAAGAGCTGTTCTGAAAGTTTCAGAAAGGTAGAAATTGTCTAAGCATGAATATGATGGTCACAAATCTGAAGGTAGAAAAACCTCTGGACCAGCTGTAGGGAGTGTTGGCAAGGTTGTAGGTTTTGGGAAAAACTGGGATTTTATGTGCAATCTGCTTTCACAGAGTTCAAAACCAAGTTTTACAAGAGTTCTTCAAAGCCTAATCCTGGCCTACACCCTGGCATCAATCCTTCTGGGTCAGTTTGACCATTCTTAGCGTTTCACTTCAGGAGGAGAGAAACCCCAAACCCCTGTTTTGAGGTTGCAAATAAAACCCCTACCCTTGGTCTAACAGCAATCTGATAGCTAATCACTCTCTCATTTCCGTCATGATGGTGCATAAACATGTGCTGCAGAGCCTAAGTTTCCATTTGTACAGTGACTTCTTATGTGTTTTCAGCACGGACCGAGCGTTGCTGAGATGATGGTGACTTTGGGACCCAGAGAAGTGTGTGGACGAATACACAAAGCACTGTCTAGCTAACACGAGACAGAAATGACGCTGACAGCCAGCCCACGGACTCAGATGGTGTAGGCAGCATGTGCCGCTCTCCTAGACCTGTATTTTTGATCTCAGCTTGATTCTCTTTGATCAGATGAGCTGGGCTTTGGACCAGGCAGGTGTCACCATGATGTTTGCAGGTCTGTATGTATCTGCACTAAGCATAAGCCACTTCGTCTGGGAGAGAAACCAAATACAGATTTGGGTCCGTCCTTCTATTTTCATCTCGTGCAAATAGCCTGGTTTCCAGGTTGGGAGAAAGAGACGTTTATCAGCATTTAAATTCAGACCACGTGGACAGAAAGTAATGTTGTTTCTGATACCGGCGTGGCTCGTCTCAAGCGATTGGTCTCATTTTGGAGGGGGCCTTGCAGTCAGGGTAACTACGGCTACAACTGCACAGGTCCCCAACAAACACCATGGGGAGGGTATTTTTATATCTATTTAAATAGATATGTATAATATAATATTATAGCTGCTGCCCTCTTAGCTGCCCCGGTGTCCTGCCAGGCTGAGCGTGCCGCTCTGAGAGGGGAACTCTCCTCCCTGTGTACTGTGTCACGCGCGTGGTTCTGCTAAGAATATCCCTGACCAAGAGATTGGGATGTTTTTTCCTCTTTTGGATGGTGACCTTTTCATTATTAAATTAATGTGGTGACTTTTGATTCCGTTCTTGCCAACGCGCGCTCCCTCCGCATGCCAGCGAGGGGAGGAGCAGCCGGGAGGGGGGGGAGGGTGGGTGTGTGTGTTGGGGGGCTGTTTTACCAGGACAGCCCACGCCCACAGCGTACGCTTCCACGCCAGGAAAACTCGCGTGGGCTTCCCCCCGCGGCGAGGGGCGGCAGGCAGGGAGCGAGGGCGGGTGGCTCCGCTTCCTGCGAGCGGCGGGGCGGGGCGCGGCGCGAGTCCATGGCCGGCGCTGGGGAGCTGGAGCGGTGGCTCAGTGAGTGGGGCCGGGGGGGGCCGGGGCTGGCTTTGCCCCCCGGCCCCAACCGGGTGGGCACTGGAGCAGCTTCAGCTCCGTGGGGACGGGTCTCCGGGGGGAAGGGTCTAGCTCCTCCCCGGAGCCCCTTTAGCGTGATGGTCATGGGTGCCGTCTTAACCTGCTGCATCTCTCCTGCTCCCCACCTCTCCTGCTCCCCATCTCTCCTGCTCCCCACCTCTCCTGCTCCCCACCTCTCCTTCTCCCCATCTCTCCTGCTCCCCACCTCTCCTGCTCCCCATCTCTCCTGCTCCCCACCTCTCCTGCTCCCCACCTCTCCTGCTCCCCACCTCTCCTGCTCCCCATCTCTCCTGCTCCCCACCTCTCCTGCTCCCCACCTCTCCTGCTCCCCACCTCTCCTGCTCCCCATCTCTCCTGCTCCCCATCTCTCCTGCTCCCATCTCTCCTGCTGCCCACCTCTCCTGCTCCCCACCTCTCCTGCTCCCCACCTCTCCTGTCCGTCGGCCCCAGCCCTGCCAAAGCTGCTTGAGCGCTGCACTGGGCAGTGGATAAAGCCCAGAAGGACTGTTGGGCTGTTTTCCTCCATTCAGCCGTGCAGGCAGAGCTTTGGGAGGGGCACTCGTGCAGCTCTGTTGCAAAAGGGTAAACGGTTCCACGGCAAGGTTTGCAGTTCCGTCCAGGGAGAGCTGCCTGAAAATGCTTTTTAGCAGTTTCTCGTGCCCTGTGCTAAAAGCAACATCATGCTGTTGCTGCTTTCAACACATCAGTTTGTGGCTTTGACTCTTTAAAGACTTTGGCTCTTTAAAGTGTGTAGTCAGGACTGTATTTTTAGGGAGATTTTAGTAACAGCTGTTTCCTGCTTGTCCTACGTCTTCCATTCCTGCCTCCTTTACAAAAAGCCCTAAAGCCGCTGGTAGCAACGCAAGGTCTGAGCTGCTTCCTGCCTTGTGCCACTCACTCGCATGCCTGTCGCACTGAGGCTCCTTTTTCTTTCTGTTCTTTTTTTTTTTTTTTTCCCTCCTGTGTAAGATAAGGCCACTGACCCAAGTATCGCCGAGGAGAACTGGGAATGCATCCAGCGGTTCTGTGACCAGGTGAACGCCAACACAGAAGGGTAAGGCAGACAGACGGCTCTTTGTGTTCGCTCTGGGCTGCGTGTCTGGCTCTGAGCTTCTCTTATGGCTGCGGGGGGGAATGGGACCTGTCAGGCGCGGCGTGGGGAGCCCTCGCTGGGCTCTGCTGCTGCAGAGTGTCAGGAAGTTGCAGAGGGGTGTACGGCAATGCGCTGGAGGTCGATGTCTAGGAATGGGCTCTGATGTTCACCGCTGCAGCCCACGAGGCAGCAGGTCCTCCCTGTGCCCTCGCCAGCCCCGGGGGAGACCAGCCAAGGATGCCTGCTGTGGGTTCTGCAGGGAAGCCCTGAGTGAGCTCAGCCTCGGCTTTTTTCCTTTCCGAGAGGTGGGAGATCTCTGCTGGTGCTTTCCCACCCTCCGGCTGAGCGTCTCGGCTCTGTGGGATTGAGCAGGACCTAATGAAGCAGATGACCTGTCAAAGCTTCGCGATCGTCTCTCCTTAGAGCAGCCGCCCCTGCCCTCAGAGCCCGCGGAGCAGCCCCCTCTCCCCCAGCAGTGGGTGTGCACAGGAGCAGTCTGCCGGCTGCCTGGGGCTGGGCACCAAAGCTCCTGTGACTGCGGAGGGCAGCTCTCCTGGTTCCCCCCCCGGGGGGATCCCCAGCCTCTCCCGGCTGGCTCCCTCCTGGGGGACAGCACGGGGGTCGCACAACCTGCTCAGTTCACCCCTCGTGGGGCCGTGGGTGCCCCAGGCTCTGCCAGGGGAAGGGTCTCAGTCCTGCGGCAGGCTCTGAGTCCGGCAGTTGCTCTTCTCTGCAGGGCAAAATCAGCAACATTTGTTTTTCTTGGGAACTTGTGCGTTGTCTGACTTGCTTCTGCTACTCCCTAGCCCATCCCTTGCACCGAGGCTGCTGGCACATAAAATCCAGTCACCTCAGGAGATGGAAGCTCTCCATGCTCTCACAGTAAGTGCTTTCATCCGCATGCAAAGAGAGGCAGCAGTAACTGGAAAGGGAGTTTGGGGGGTAGAGACAGTATAGCTGTCTCTTCCTCTTCTCTTAGATGTCTCTCCCTTTTAACTTTCCATTGCACAAGGAATACGGAAACCAGGGTATAACGGAGGGAGTAACTGCCGTTGTTCCTTCCCTTGCTGCTCTGCTGAGGTGTCTCAGCAGCCTGTGGCTCTCGCTGTCTGACCTGTGGTCCCACTGCAGGGCCACTGGCCCAAAAGTTGTTGGTGATGGGTAGAACAGAGCAGATGGACTTAAACATGCTGTTTAAGAAGGTTGGATGGAGGAAAAATGCATGTTTTTGCTGCACAACTTTCTCGGTATCTTGTATTTGTGAATGCAGTGCCAGGAAGTTCTCAGATTTAGTATTATAATGGAAAAGTTTTTAAAAATTCCCCAAGACTTGTGTGTACAGTTTCTGTTTGGTGCTGTTTTGTTTTCTGCAGGTGCTAGAGACCTGTGTGAATAACTGCGGTGAAAGATTTCACAATGAAATAGCAAAATTCAGGTTTCTGAATGAGCTGATTAAAGTGCTTTCCCCAAAGGTGGGTGGTCGTGGTTACACTGGACATCGCAGGTGGGACACACTGTTTATTTCACACCAGAAATGAAAACTTAAGAGTTAATTGCACGCAGAAATAGAGCAGAATTTGTTCTGTGCCTCCAAGCACAAGGACTGGATGTGGATCGCCTTGTAAAAGATGTAAGCCAGGGTCTCTTTCTGTGAAATGCTTTTTCCTTGTGGTTTCTCCCAACTCTGCAGGGACAGTCAGGGACTCTAGAGGAGCTCGAAATTGTTCCTGTGGCCCTTTTGCCCCTCAGTGATGCACAGAACTTTGGTTGGGGAAGTGGCAGAGGACAGGGGTGCCCGGAGCTGCCCAAAGCCTCTCCCATGTTTTCTTACGCTCTCTCCTCAAACTCTTGTGCTCAGCCTGCTCTTCTTGCTTTCTCCTGCCAGAAGTTAGCCTGGGTTTGGGTCCTGTTCAGGGGGCAGGATCGGCGTAGGCAGCAGCAGCAGGGACTGGGCTGCAGCAGCCCCCACGCAGCCCTCTTCACTGGCTCGCAGCACGTTCATTCAGTAGATTCAGTATATTCATTCCTGCTCCCTGCTGTGGAGCACTTGGCTTCTGAGCGCAGTCGCTGCCTCCTGAGAGGAGAAGGAGCCATCAGAAATGAGACGTTTCGTCTGAGCAGCTGAGCTGTGAGTTCGGAGTGGGTGCACGGGGGCCCCTGGCAGTGCCTCTCATGATGAAAAACGGGGACCTCTTTTATCGGAGACACTGTGATCTTCACGCCTTTCTCTTCTCTGCATGAAATAGCAAGCCTGGGACTTTCTTAAATGCCCTTCTTAGCAACTCAGTAATCGATTCCCGGTTTTAGTGGGTCCTGCACACATTTACCACTTGTACAGATTTTCCATTACATCATCCCGATGACAGAGGTGCAAAAGGCTGGTTTCGGAGAAATGTTTAACTGAACAGCAAAACCTCTTCTCTCAGTCCCAAGTTTAGTAAAGGTATTTCAGTCAAACAACAAAGTTTAAAGAATGTATCAATACAGAGAGTTTGATAGAACAGGTATCATTTAATTAGTTTAAAATGCCTGGTGTTTTGGAGGTTTGTATGTGGCTTTTACAATTCTTCCGGATGTTTTTATAACACACTAGAGTGCTTGTAGGCAATGATGAGAGAAATTGGAGAAAACGTCCAGGTGCTGAATAAAGACGATAACTTTTGTTTCTGGTTTTGTTCAGTTTTCATTTCTCTGGGTCTGGCTGAGGCCAGTGGTGCCATTTGCACTGTGGGCAGTTAAGGGAAGTATTTAAAGTCGAGAACAGAGCTGTTTTCGCTAAAGTAAAACAGCCTACTTTTGGTTTCAGATTCGATAACTGATCAGAAAAATTTTCAGCTGGTTTCCTTTTGATTGTCATATAACATTTAGGTAATTATCATGCACGTGTTAGTGTTCCTTGTATTTACAGCCACAGCTGTACACACCATTTCTTATGCTGCAAGATGCACAGTT